AAGAATGTAGAGCATGGAGACTTCTGAGGAAACATATATATTGCTAACCTACATATTGCTAAATAATCTTATTTCTACACTTACCATTTTCATGAAAGTTTCAAGAAAACATATACTTTGGAAGACCCTTTATAGTAGTTCTTCTGCATTGTCAAATGGGTAGGATTGCTTGCAGATTAAGAAAGTGTATTTCTGAACCTGTCTGTGAGAAACATTCTAGAGAGAATTGACTGTGAGAGGAAGATCCACCTCATAGTCCACAGCTCCTTTCAATAGGATGCAGTCTCTTGTGCAATAAAACAGCCAGGAGGAGGAAGGAGAACATTCACTCTGCTTCTTGGGTGACATGATGTGAGCTCCACTGGACTCTGCCCACATGGCAGAGTAAAATTTCTAATCTAAGATTGAAATAATGAATTCTTCCCTTCAGGTTGTTTTTATTAAGGTCTTGTTACAGCAATTAAAAGTTAAGTACACATCTTTATAACATGTTTTAACTGACTTTGACCAATGATATAAGATGGATGCTGTACTGAGAGCATTTGGCATCACCATCTCTGGGTTGCGAGGGATAGCTATTATTTGTAGTGGAAACTTTGGCAATTTGTTAGATAACAAAATGGTGAGGTAGATTTCTTTAAAGAGGGTGTATAAGTGAGGGAAACTAAGTTTATACGCATGATGTGTAGAATAATATCCCAAACTCATTGATTTAGCCTCAAGAGGATGAAATGTGGGTGTGAATAAGGCAGGAGAGCTGCAGGCCAGGAGGTGGGTTCAGAACACTGGTATCTGGGTGCCATATTCTTGGAGCAAGAAGAGAGTGGCAGCTCTTCTCTGCAGGAGGCAAGTGAGTATAGAGAAAGGTTTCCCCCTACGGCTCCATGTACAACTTCTCTCATTTTTTTTTTCATGTTTCAAATTAAGTGTTGTATTTTATTTCTAATAAGTTTTTTATTTTTATGGTGAAAATACTGTACAGAGGGGTTACAATTACATGGGCAAGATAATGAGTACATCTGTTATCAAGCATTGTAGCCTCCTCCTTTGTTTCCCCTTCCCATCCTCCTCCCTGACCCCCCACCAAAGTTGTAAAGTTCATTATTTGACATAACGACTTGCAAATCTCATTGTTGCAATGGGTCCACCTGTATCCCCATTTAAATGATTTGCTTTTCCCCCCTCCCACCCACAAAATATACTGACATCAAACACAGTGAAAGCAGGGGTTATACTGTGGGGGAGGGACATACAAAGCAACAAAGAAACACTCTTATAAATGTGTTAGAAACAATCGCATGAAAGAAAAATAAACATTTGAATACATATCTGAGGGTTCATTTCCCTAACATCACCTTATCTGACCTTTTCTGCTTGACTCAGACATATACTAGATATTGCAAATAAAGGAAACCCTGGGACCTATGTTTCTTTGGGCTGGCTTACATCACTTAATATAAGCCCACGGAATGGGAGAAGATCTTCACTAGCCATACAATGGACAAGGGTCTCATATCTAAAATATACCTGGAACTCAAAAAATTAAGTTCCCCAACAACAAATCCTCAAAAAACAACTGCACAATAAATAAGTGGGCTAAAAATTTAAAGAGAAACTTCTCTGAAGAGGAAAGAAGGATGGCCAATAGACACATGAAGAAATGCTCAAACTCCCTAGCCATAAAAGAAATGTAAATCAAAACGACATTAAGATACTACCTCACTTCAGTTAGAATGGCTAAAATCAAGAATTTTAAAAACAACAGATGTTGGAGGTGATGAGGACAGAATGGAACCTTACTTCATTGTTGGTGGGAGTGTAAACTTGTTCAACCACTTTGGAAAGTAGTATGGAGGTTCCTCAAAAGACTCCACATAGAGCTCCCCTATGACCCAGCAATCCCACTTTTGGGCATTTTCCCAAATGTTTACAAACAAGACCACACTAAAGCTACCAGCACAACTATGTTGATTGCAGCATTATTTACCATAGCTAAGATATTGAACCAACACAGATGCCCCTCAGTAGATGAATGGATCAAGAAAATGTGGTCTATATACACAATGGAATTCTATGCCTCCATCAAAAAGAATGACCTTGCTCCATTTGTTAGGATATGGAAAGTCTTGGAAAAAATATATTAAGTGAAGTAAGCCAGGCCCAAAGAAATATAAGTCCCATGGGTTCCCTTATTTGAAATAACTAGTATATGTTTGAGACAAGCAGAAATGGTCAGATAAGTTGATGTTAGGCTAAATGGACCCCAAGATAAGGACTCAAATGTTTCATTTTTCTTTCTTGCTATTGTTTCTAACATATTTATAAGATATTTCTTTGTTCTTTTGTATGTCCTTCCCTCATGTTATAACCCCTGTTTTCACTCTATTTGTTGTTGATATAATTTGTGGAGGGAAAAGGAAAAACAATTGTTTAAATAGGGATACAGGTGGACACATTGCAACAATGAAATGTACCACACCTTATGTTGAAAAATGAACTTCACAACTTTGGCACAGGGCGAGGAGCGGGGAGGATTGGGATGGTAGGGGAGATGGGAAGGGATGGTAGGGTAAGCAAAGCAGGAGGTAACAATGCTTGATAAGAAATGTACTCATTATCTTGCCCATGTAATTGTAAACCCTCTGTTTGATTTTTTCACAATTTAAAAAAAAACAACTAGCTCAGCATGAACCACTGGTTCTCCCCATTTGTTCCATGTCATGCCTGAATAGTTATAGATTTTCCTTTACCACTTAAGCCCTCCACATGCCCTGGCACCTATGTTTATTTGGGGCTGGATTACTTCACTTAAATATAATTTTTTCCAAGACTTTCCATTTCCTAACAAGTGGGGCAATGACATTCTTTCTGATGGAGGCATAGAATTTCATTGTATATATGTACCACATTTTCTTTTTTGGGTGGGTATGGTCATGGGGCCTGAACTCTGGGCCTGGGTGCTGTCCCTCAGCTCTTCAGATCAAGGCTAGCACTCTACCACTTGAGCCACAGCGCCACTTCTGGCTTTTTTCTTTTCAGAACAGTGAAGGAGGTTGGCATATCTTTTAGGGAAGCTTATAAATCATCATCAAAATTGGTTAAAAAAAGAGCATTGTAGAAGAATTATGTGAGCATGTGGTGCAGAGAACATTAATATTTTAAAAGATGAAGGTCATCAAATCAAGACTCAGATGGAATTCTGGTAGGAAATGGTACTGAAGAATACACTGATTGGGTAATGAGTTACTCCTGGTCCGTTGGTTTTGAAAGAGCAGTGTTATCTTTACACATCATCTTCTCGGACTGCCAGTGTTAAATACCATGTGATCACCCTGTTCATATAACTCTGGTATGATTGTGTAGATTGTAGATTGTCAAATCTACACAATGGGATGAAGTATGTCCACATGCTAATCTGTATGTGGAGACCTTCTTCATTTCACTTTTGCATCACTGTTTGTGAATCCCCATGTTGAAGATGTTCTTTACTAACTGGGTGGCTCCAGTTTCTCAACTCTACCCTTGACCTCATTGCAATTTACCATTTCTGTAACTATATGAATCATATCTCCCAAATACAACTTGTGAAAATTGCTTTATTGGTGGTCATGCATATAATACTAGCTACAGAGGAGGCTGAGATCTGACGATTAGAGTTGGAGATCAACTTGGACATAAAGACAATGAGTCTCTGTCACCAGTTAAACACCAAAAGGTTGGATGTGAAGCTGTAACTCATTTGGCACACTATCACCCTAGAGCACAAAAGCTCACGGACTAAGTCAAGCCCCAGGCCTAGTACACAAAAAACTGCTTCACTTAAGATCTAAAAGACATGCAACTTGAAAGACTATACAGCTTAAGAAGCATAATGAAGTTAAAGTAGAGTTGAGTCCTCAGGCTAGAGAACAACTCAGCTTCTGAGAAGGAATAGTTTCCATTAACAGATGAAACAAATGTCCTCTAAAAGTTCAGAAATAGCTGGCACATACATGCATAATAACCACAAAGCTAGATATGATTCCAGGTATTTTCCTAAAACTAAAGAAGAAATACCTGAGGTGAACTGTTCTAGAGGGAGGCGATAGGGTAGAACATTCAGAAGGGAAGCAATCCAGTCATTTATATGAGTTCACAGGACATCAATGAATGCACCAACGGATTGTCCATATACCTCTGATCATGACACTTTATTGCACATATTTCAGTGCTACCTTCCATTAAAAACTTTGAAAACTGTTCATTTCTCTCTTTCTATCAATACATCTATCTGTCTTTCTACCTACGTATGTATTATCACTTTTATAACACATGTCTGTGTACTAATGTTTATTATTAAACCATATAACAAGGTTCAGGCAAACAACCTGAATACTCTTAAGAATTCTGTGTCACAAACTCCACTGGTACCAGAGTTAGGAACATTTTAAAATTAATTTCCTTTGGAAATGTTTGTCTTTGAGTGACTGATTTAAGTGAAGAAAATCATACCAAGTCATGTATAAGCTGAAAATGTTAAAAATTCTATTTGGGGTTGGGAATTGAGCTCAGTGAAAGAGTGCTTACCTGGAAAGTTCAGTTCAGTCCTCAGCTCTGGGAAAAAAATCTATTCTTATCACAGGCCAACAGAATCATAATGTTTTCTTGTCTCTCAAAACACATTTTCCACAAGCACATTGGACACCTGGGTACTTCAGGTCTGTGTTTTCTCATTGAGATCTGCCAGCTGAAGCTCTGACTCGCACTGCCCAAACCATGTTGATTTGCATGTGCCCAGAGCACAGCCCACTACACTGGGAACTTCTTCATAGGCTGCTCACACTCTGTGCAAGAGAAGTTCCAGTCAGCACACAGCATGGACATGAGGGCCCTTGCTCAGCTCCTGGGGCTCCTGCTGCTCTGGGTTGCAGGTAAGGAAAGATGATACTGGTGATTATTCACCCAGTGTTCAGCTGAGCTACTTGGCTGTTCATGGAGTACTTGGACAGCAGAATTAATTAAACTGCTAATGGCTTTTATGTTTCCAATGTCAGGTGCCAGATATGACATCCAGTTGCCCCAGCCACCATCCCTGTCATCACCTCTGGGAGACAGAGTCACCATCACTTGCCGTGCCAGTGAGGGCATTAGCAAGAGTTTACATTGGTACCAGCAGAGAGCAGGGAAAGCTCCAAAGCTTCTGATCAGTTTTGCAACTACTTTGCAATCTGGGTTCCCATCAAGGTTCAGTGGCAGTGGATCTGGGACAGAGTTCACTCTCGCCATCAGCAGCCTGCAGCCTGAAGATGAGGCAATATATTACTGTCAACAGGGTTATAGTTTACCTCCCACAGTGACACAAGTCATAACGAAAACCTCCCAGAGAAGCAGAAGTGAGAGGCTGGGCTGCCCTAGCTTCTCTTCTACCTGGACAACTGCCTCTACTCTACACAACTTCTCAGACAGACGCAAACTTTAAAGTTACTGGAAAGTATTGGTAGAGAGGTCATGGAGGCATTTGCACACCCTAACTCTCTGTCCTCCTGTGCATCCTAAGCAGCACACAGCTAAGAATGCCTCTTCTGACTTACAATTTGCAGCCACAAAAAGAAAGAGACATTTTAGGAATATCAAACCAGGTTTTAAAAGCAAGGCAATAGAGCTTTAGAAAAGATTTTGTTTTTAGATTATAAAAAAAATCATCATTAAGTATTGAAACATAAAGCAGATTTCTTGATTAAAATGGAAAATTTCTAGTTCATTGAGTGACACATCCATTAGTTATCATATCTATATCTGTATCTATATATACAGATATATGCTATGTGTGTGTGTATATATATATATATATATATATATATATATATAAAACACCCAGTAGCAATACATAAAATAGCAAGTTTATGCAATCCCTGTAACAGCCATGGTCTGATTTGTAACATATTTTATTCAGCTGCTAAGGGCTCTCAGAATACAGAGCAGAGCATAACTTCTGAGACCCCACTCACCTGAGCCTACAGCCCACAAAGCTCTGCCCTTGCAGGCTTTTGTTGGTTGCTCTACTCAATAAGCAGTTCTTTTTTGTTTTGTTTTGTTTTGTTTTTGGTTGGTCCTGGGGCTTGAACTCTGGTCCTGGGTGCTGTCCCTCAGCTCTTCAGCTCAAAGCGAGCACTCTACCACTTGAGCAATAATGCCACTTCCAGTTTTTAACTCAGTTTTAGATATAGAAAATTCTAGATGAAATAGTCTCATCTGCTTCTACTCAGGTGAGGCCTGTTCTGTATGTCAACCAATATGCTGTATTAATGTGAAGAGAACAAGTAGTAGCTGGGCGCTGGTGGCTCACGCCTGTAATCCTAGCTACTCAGGAAGCTGAGATCTGAGGATCCAGGTTCCAAACCAGCCCGGGCAGGCAAGACCTTCAGAGTCTTACCTCCAATAAACCACATGAAAACCGGAAGTGACACTGTAGTTCAAGTGGTAGAGCATTCTCCCTGAGCTGAAGAGATAAGGGACAGTGCCCAGGCCCAAAGTTCAAGCCCCACGACCAAACAAAAAATTAAATAAATAAAAATAAAAATAAAAACAAGCTGCAGTTAGAAGAGCCCAAATATATGATTTATAACAAGCAACTTCTGTGAAAACTGACACATTCCATGAGAAGAGATATAGCCCTTCTGAGAACAGGACCTCCAATGATCTAATCACTTCCTACAAGGAGGCCATTCAGATGACCATGTGGGGTCTTCTGGAGCATCAGCACCAACTTCCTTCTCCACTTGTTCCTCCTTACCATGTGATATTCTGCCGCATGACAGAGCAGAATCCTTGGACACAAGAAGTAGGGACTGAACTCTCTGTGACAAATAAGCAGACACTGGTTAATTCAGATTGGGAATGGAGACATTAAAAGATTTTATGTTAATTTAAGATAACCAGAATTATATACCTACATTTGTCTTTACATAGTTTCAAAAAGGGTTAAAAAACATAACGGTATAGGAGTGGAATATATCTTGATCACTTTCTCCCTTTACTCTCTAGAGGGAAGATTTAAGAAATTCTGTGAGCAATTTGTTGTGCAAATACAGTGTGGAAGATTAACAGGATAGATAATGGACTTTAAAACTCATTACATGGAATATATAGTGACACTTTGAAGTAAAACTTTATAACATTTTTCTTTTATCCTTTTTAATTTTATTCTGTTGTAAAGGTACTGCACAGAAGGGTTACAGTTACATAAGCAGGGTAATGAGAACATTTCTTGTCAAATATTGTTACCCATTCCTTCATCTCCTACCGTCCCTCTACCCAACCCACCCACCCTGAAGTTATAAAGTTCATTTCCAACATAGAGTCCTGTGAGTATCACTGCTGCATTGGTCACCCTTTGTCCTTATTTCACCATTTTGTTATTCTCCTTCTCTTGTCAAGTCATAGAAACGTGTATAAAAGATGCATGGTACCAGAATATAAACAGTGACTACAGGGGATAAGCCAAAGTGAAATTTAAAAAATATATAATAAAAAGAAGGAACTTGATACAGTATATAAACCACAACAAAGTCAACAAAAAAGACATCTTGTTTCTATATCTTGGAGTTAATTTGGATTAGCATCATTTTATATGGTGATATGTACATAGCTATTGATCTATTGTGATAGTCTGCAAGGACTATACTAGACATATACTAATTATTACAAATGAAGGAAATTATGGAGCCCATGTTTCTTTGGGTCTGCTTTTTTCACTTAATATGGTTTATTTTAAGTCTTTACATTTTCTTGCAAAGGAATTCCTAGGGCTCCTTTATCCACGTGAAAACTTTCTGAATAAAGATCCAGAAACACAATGAATCAAAGAATGGATGGATAAATGGTATCATATTAAGCTGCAGAGCTTCTGCATGGCAAACGCCATAGCCAGCAAGATAAATAGAAATCTCGCAGATTGGGAGAAGATATTCACTAGCTCTACAACAGACAAGGCCTCATATAAAAAATATAACTAAAGCTCAATAAACACCCCTCCAAAAAAATCCTCAAAGTAAAACCAGCCCATTAATCATTGGGCTAAAGAATTAAGAGTCTATTCTGGAGAGCAAATAAGAATGGCCAATAGACACCTGAAGAAATATTCACCATCTCTGGTCATAAGAGAGATGCAATTCACAACCTCATTGAGATTCCACCTCACCACAGTTACAAGGGCCATTATTAAGAAAACAAATAATAACAGATGTTGGCAGGGATGAGGCCAGATACTACTCTGATGGTGGGAACATAACGTGATTTAACCACTATGGAACGCAGTATGGACGTTCCTCAAAAGATTAAACATAGAACTCCCTACAATCCAGCAATCCCACTTCTGGGAATTTACTCAAGTGACCACAAACAAGGCCAAATTAATGTTACCAGCACAATTGTATTCCTTGCTACACTATTCACCTTAGCTAAGATATGGAACCAACACTGATGCCCCTCAATAGATGAATGGATCAAGAAAATGTGATATATATATATATATATGTATATATATATATAAGCATATATATATATACATATATATATGCATCTGTATACATCTATATCTATCTATCTATCTATCTATCTATCTATCTATCTATCTATCTATCTATACTGGAATTCTATGCTTCTGTCAGAAAGAGAGCATTGCCCTTTAATCTTATAAATAAATGCATTTAGATCACTATTAGTAGCAGAAAATTATGTTCTTCCTATCAATTCTTTATGTTAAATTTCCTTTGGAAACAGAAGTTCTAACACTTGTAGCTGAGATTCCTGAACATATAAGTTAGTAACTATGGGCATAAGTTGCCACTTTATAAAGCTAAACTGTTCAACTCCCTTGAGGATCCTTGCTGCTGCTGGTGAGTACAGTTTTTCTCTCTAGACCTTCTGCATGAGTTTAAGGTGAGCTGGGAATTGTGCTCATTCCCTTCCTACAGACTGTCTTTGACATGAACCTGCTTATCTTTGGTCTCTGATGATGTTTTAGGGTGTCAGAGCCATGTACCCCCTATCTTCCTTCACAGTGGGGTCTTTCTTTCCCAGTGCTGCAGGAATCAAGGATTTTATTGGTTGTCCCCAAACACAGAGCATATTTGGTATCACTTTTCTTAGAAGAGCAGGCCTGACCTTCCCCTTGGCTCTTCCCACACTGTTGCACTCACCTGGAGATTTGCATATTGCTCCCTAAGGAGGACCTTCCTTTCTAAGATCTGAACTTGCCTTGACCTGTCAACACTCCTCATGTAACTCTTAAAAATGAAGTCCTTATCTCAACTACTGAGGCTGTTAATGCTCTGGATCCCTGGTAAGGGCAAAGGGAGATGGGGAACTAGAGTGGGTGGAAAGGTGAGATCTAAGGGTCCAGTTGTGCCCTGTCTGTGAAGATCTTGTTATCCATGTTGGGACAGAGATAGGTGTGAGAGAGTGAGGAACATTCCAGAAAGAGCTAAAACTGTGCTTGGGTGAAGGCTGCTAGATGAAAATACAGTCAGTGATTCCTAGAGACCTCTTTTTATTTTAGAAATATCTCTATTTATAATCGTTTATACTTTTAGATTAGCAATCAATATGAAATACAAAAACAGGCAACATATATCAAAATACAAATAATATCAACGTGTCTATGTTTGTGAATAACCTTGCATTTCTATCTTATTCTAATTTCAGGATCCAGTGGAGATGTTGTGATGACCCAGACTCCAGTCTCCTTGCCTGTCACGCTGGAAGATCTGGCCTCCATCTCCTGCAGGTCTAGTCAGAGCCTCCTGCATAGCAATGGAAACACCTATCTGAACCGGTACCTGCAGAAGCCAGGCTGGTCTCCACAACTCCTGATATACACAGTTTCCAACTGATTTTCTGTGGTTCCAGACAGATTCACTGGCAGTGGGTCAAGCATAGATTTCACACTGAAATCAGCAAGGTAGAGCCTGAGGATGTTGGAGTTATCACTGCTTCAAGATACACATAAGCCTCCCACAGTGATATATCCCTGAACTAAAATTTCCTTTTAGGCTGTGTGAGCTACCCTTAAGGGTTACTGGTCTTGGGAACTGCAGAGCAGATCATCTGAGTCTGTCTAGGAGGAAGATACTTTGATCAAAGTAACTATGAGTAACTATGAGTACAGATGAGGTTTGAGTGACAATATGACTCCATTCAATCTACAATCATGGAAGAGGAGAACAATCATAGTAGCACAGAGACGAGGAGACTTCAGATAAACCATGAAGCATTTATTGAAAAAAATGCTTTGTGTCTTAATTAATAATATAGTTAACAGGAAATATAAGAATGAAATGTCTTTTGTGATTTTATTCCATTTATAATGAAACTTGAAATACTTCCATCAAGCACATGGTCCTGGCTCACAACTATAGCAAATGCTGTGCTTTCTGTTAACCTGCTGGAGGTCCAGTTGTGCATTTCTTGCCTCTGCTCTATATGTTCCCCAAATGCTGCTTTACCTTCAAGCCCTTAGCAGAGTTTGGTCACTGTCCTTTGGTTAGATTAACCTTTCCGTAGTTACAGTACTACACCCTGTACACTAGTCTCTCACAATCTGTGCCCCAGGCCCTGGGTCTATTTAAGACTGTAGAGTGTGATCAAGCCCTGTAATGGTAACCATAGGTCCCAAAAGTGGAAAACTAAGCCTTGTTAATACACACAGCATTCATAGCTCTATCTGGCCAGGCTTAGTGAGTTGATTTGAAAAATCATGGCATGAGGGCATCGTTAATAACTTAATTTTATTTTACATCCATCTCTATAATCCTAAATTTTAAACAATGACAATGTACTCCCTAGCATTTGGGTGATATTTTGTCTTATGCCAGCATCTAGTGTGCTTCTGCATCAAATAGTGTATACTGTTTCACCATGATTTTCTAAAATCCATCTGGGAAACTAACAGTTGGAGTTTGAGATGCTTTGAGCTCCAGATTTTATCATTCATTGGCAAAATATATGACTAGAATGTATATTAACAAAAGGGATACCTTTGATTCACTTATGAACATTTATTGTAAAGTTTATCCTCATTTGTAGCATTCTGTAGAATGCTAGTCAGAACTACCTTAGAGTGTATTCTCAGTTCTCACCTCTGTCCTGGCAAGCATCTTACCCACATACAGAGAGGCACGCTTCTGATTTCTAATTCTCACTGAGTCTCCTCACTGTGTAAGTTTGTTTTACACACGATCATTGTTGAAACACTGACTGATTTCATGTCAAATAAGTACACAGAGAGATGAATTTTTATCAAAACTGACTACATAACTAAACTATTTACAAAAATTATAAAGAATACAGGGACAATATGAACATGTGAATCAATGAATTAAAGTGAGATCTTCCAAGGAACCTTCTATCACGAGCAGTTAATTTGCAAGAGATCCACCAACATCAATATCAGAGGACTTAAAAAAGGACTTAGATATAACATGTGAAAGTACTGATGATAAGAAGTTTACTACAGTGTACACACTAACAGCAAATTGTATGTTTGTTCATAAAGACTTGTATAAAGAGCTCAATGGCCTGCAGCACTCAACTCTGTCCTCTGCTCTCTCAGAGAAGGATAGGACCCCGTCATTCTACAGAATTGAATCCTAAATAAGGCCCTTATTCACCATATGGATAGGGATCTAGAGAGGGAAGGGGTTCTGGAAAATTCACTTAATGCAGAGACTGTGTAATGAAGTTCAGAGCTGACCACCCAGTGTGGTCCTATGGCCCAACTCTCAGGATTTGATCAGGAGAGCATTGCCCAAGAACATTTCTATATTGCATCTAAGTGTCATCAGACGGTTGCAATAAAAGCAACAAAGTTTCATAAAGTCACACATCAATGGAAATAAAGTTTTCATATTATGTATATGAGTCTCTTTACAAACTAAATTCTTGCTTAACACAATAAAAGCAAAATTCAACTAAATACGGAAATAATATTTTCTTTCTTATTCAGTTTTCCAGAATTCAATAATATCATCAACAACACTGAAAGCATGTTGCAAATACAAAATTAGAAACCACTTGAGATCTACTGAATGTGAATCTGCATTTCAGCATGTAGGCAGATCATCTTTATTGGGTTTAAGAAGCCATGTTTAACCCAGGAGCTGGTGGCTCACAGCTGCCATTATAGCTTCTCAGGAGTCTGAGGTCTGAGGACTGTGGTTCAAAACCAGCCAAGGTAGGAAAGATATTAAGATACTTATCTCCACTTAACCACCGAAAATCTGGAAGAAGAGCTGTGATTGAAGGTTGGCAAGTCACTAGCACTGAGCAAACAGAGATTAAGGACACTGCACACACCCTGAGTTCAAGCCTAAAGACTGGCACAAACAAGCAAACGGACAGAAACAAAAGAAAACCAGCTGTGTTTAGAGGATGAATATCAAGGTTGAGAGATTCTCTTTACTTAACTGTTAGCTCCTATTAAGAACATATCTAGTTAATCCACATGTTAAATACATACATGTGCATATACACATATGACTGTGCATACTGTGCATATATATATATATATACATGCACATGCATGTGCATATACTCACATACACAGTCCATTTCCAGTTGCTATAAAAAAGTAAGTCACTTTCAATAGTTTGAAGCATAAACTTATTCATTCAGAGAATGGTAATCAGTTGTTTCTTAGTTGGCCTAAGTGAAAAAAATGCCACAAATCTTACAAACTACACTAAAAAAGAATAATATCTCTATGAAAAAATCTTTACTCCAATTTGACACCTTCATCATCATTTGTTGTCCTTTACAGAGATCATTGCACTGAATTCAATATTCAAAGCCAATGTAACTTTTACTCTTATCTCTTGGAATGTCATTAAGCATCATATATAGCTAAATTTTTCAGAAGACATTTCAAACTTAGCTTTCTTACAAAACCAAATCTAGAAATGGATTTGTTTTATGGATGTTTTAATAAATAAAGTACTGGGTTGAATTTGGGCTTATTACCCAAGATTACATTTTATTACTTGGTTTTGGGTTAAATTGTGTAAATCCATATTTTCTTAATATTTATTTATTTATAACTGCTGAATTGAACATGGAGCCTTATATCATCTTGGGTAGTCCTCTCTCCCTGGGAAATTCCTCCAGCATGCTTTGATGGTAGTTATTTAGGAGCTGGGTCTTGTGACCCTTTGTGACCATGTACTGATCTTCAACCCAGATTCTCCAGATCTCAACCTCCCAAGTAGCTTGGCATACAAGCTTGATTTTTGCTTCCAGCAACAATCTGTAAAACCCTTTCCTCTAGCATTTGTTTGCTGTCCTGAGCTTGATTCAGAAGTGAAGTGATGTAGGCAAAAATAGTTACAAAAGCTAGTTAATCTGGACTCAAATGTACTATCATTTTTCAGGAGTTACTTGTACCTAAAGAAGCTAATTGTAAGCAGAACTCTGAGTAGCCAGGTTTGGTCCCAACGATACTATGTAATTGATCAGATGGTGTGAAAGAAAAAAGCAAATGTGGAATCTTTGAGAAATGAATTAAAAACTGGAGCTGTTGCAGCAATTAACATTGTGAGCCTACTATAGGTTAAAATGACTATTTAAATGCACAGTTTTCAAGAATTTCCAATAGTTAAGTACTTTAAATATCAACTGATATTTAAACACAATAGAAACACAATGTGAAAAGTCAACTAAGAGATACCAGAATAGGAAATTACAAAGATAACGGAAGTATTAGTTCTTGTGTTATAAAATATATTATTTTAAATACTTTTTATTGTAAAAATACTGTACAGGTGGCTTATTATTACATGAGCAATGAAATGAGTACATTTCCTAACGAGCATTATTGTCTACTCCTTTGTTTTTCCCCTACCATCCCTTCCCTCTCACCTCCACAACCACCCTGCATAATTGTTGTCACTATTTGTTTGGCTCTGGTCCTGGGGCTTGAACTCAAGGCCTGGTCGCCCTTGCTGAGGCTTCCTTCCTCAAGGATAGTGCTCTATCACTTGACCCAACACTTCCAGCAATGATTTTGAATGGGGGATACCTTTGGGGAAGAGTAGTTCATTGTTGAGAACAGTCTCCTGTATTTTTCTGCCCAGTCTTTTTGGAAACATGGTCTTCAGATCCCAATCTTCTGAGTAGCTAGTATGGCAAACTTGAGTCAGAGGTCCTCCAGCTTTTTCCCCTGTTTGGAATAAAATCTGATTACTTTCCCCTATGCAGAGGCCCACTGAGTAGTCTGTGCTCGATCTGAGTCTGACACACACACACACACACACACACACACACACACACACACAGATATTGTGAGACTGTGGCCTTGGCAGAGACATGGGAAAGCCAGTGGGCAGTGTCCTTTGGACATCCCATCAGTGTTCCAGGCCTCTCCTGCTCATCGCCAGGGGAACTTTCAATTACCTTAGTTGTCCTTGTGAATGGTCTTGACCATGAGCCGGGCAGTTTTCATACCAGCAGCCTTTCCAGTGTTGCCCATGGATATAGAGACAGACATGGTGGTGCTGAAAGGGGCACAGGCTGTTGTCTGGGCTTGGGATGAAGCTTCCTTCCCCTGAGACCACGCCTGCCCTCACCCCCACCAGCACTGGCAACACTACCAGCACCCCTTCCTCCTCTTATACCTCCAGCTCCTGGCTGACCAGCACTGCCCATGACTCTTGGTAAGTGGTCAGAGATGTGGCCACTCCCAGTGCAGGCCAGGTCGGGCTGGATTTGACCTCCTCGGGACACTGTGCACCTGTGTTCATGGCCCAGATGGTTGTGCAAGAGCCAGGAGGCTTTTCTTGATGTTGGTGTAGGAGCATCTGGGCCTGTCAGGCCTGGCTCATCTTGCTTTGGGCAGCCCAGA